GCTACCAAAACATGAAATCTTTTAGGATAGAAAGCATAATCAAATATCACAATAAGAATTCTAATAAATTTTAAATGCTTTGCTCCTAACTGGCTAAATACAGATTTCCAGCTTTCTGGCTAACTGTTAAGTACCTAGTCAGCCTGAAGATCTTGTTAGCTACATCCAACAAAGAATAGTTGAAATACTATTATTAAACTACTCTAATAGGAAATGTATAATGAGCCAATTGAGAGATATATGTTCAAATATTTTATGGTCCTTTAGTGCTGTTATGCTAAGAACAACTGTTATTAATTTGCTAGTATCCAAACCCCCAGAAGACTTTTATATACCTATGACTCAAAATGCAGTAACTTCTTTTTTTAAAAAAATTACAATGATTATTACCTTAATTTATGACTAATTAAATTTTGTAGAATTTCTTCCTGGTAAACTAATACTTAATATTTTGAATAGTAATCATCTTAATAGTAGTTTTAATGTGTAAGCATTCTTACATGTAATCTCATTACGACCTATTTAAAAACCAATATTTTTCTAGAATTGACAATTCAATGTAACTAATCCAACCAGTTCAAGTTACATACATATTAATTTACTGTAAGCATTATGCAAATATTCAATTCATATGACAGAACTGGAACAAATTAATGTACATCAATATAGCAACTTATATTAAAACTATTTTCAAACCTTATACCTTTATGCAACATACTGTTTTCTAGTAGGTAATCAAATTAACAGTGGCTCAAAGTACTCATCAAACTCAAATAATTTTATCAAGGTTTCTGGCTTCAAACTGAATTCAGTTTACATTTGTCATTCTAATGTAATTGAAGAGTTTCAATAAAGTTTTTTAAACTTCTTACTAATTTGTTTGTAATTCAATATGCTTAGTTTATTAATAATCCATTTAACAGCTGCATAACATCAGTTACAGCTTCTATCAAACTAAACACACACCTATGTCTCTGAATATTCAACTAAAAAAAAAAAAAGACCTCACACAACTACTACCACTAAAAAAAAATTCATTTATATATTATCTCTTAAGTACATACATGAGGTCCATATGGACCCCAATCAAATAATAATGGCTCCCAATCTATTAAGTTTGCAATTAGATTTTTTTCCTTTGAAGAATAAAGAATGAAATATTTTTCAAAAAGTTTTTAATCAATATTTCTTCCCTGTTTCCAATGGCTCGAACTAACTTGGAGAATTATGTGCATGTAAAAATTAAGTAAGTATTTAAGGGGTCAACTGCATACTAATCAAAATATTTCTCAAATGATGAATGCTACAGACAAACAGTTTTATCTGGATTTTGAGCAGGAGGCATTTTGTGTTGAGAAAAGAAATCATTACAGGGTAATTTTTAAGCATATCTACTACAGTATGTGCAGTATCTTTAAATTATCTAATTAATAAAGACAATTAAATTTTCATATACATTTTTTGGGTAATTTTTAAGTTCCAAAATTTATATGAATTTACAAACAAATATCTTAATATTCATAAAACAAAAATCAGTGACTAACATTCGTATAATAATTCATATATAAATTACATTTGCAAAAGTGGTCAATATTATCACAAATGAAGAATTTACTACTGAATATTACCAGTAATTATATTGCTTCACAAATATTACTGTACTTAAAAATTATAATTTCATTTAGTGATCCCTTTTTTATTCTCATGGCCCTTGTGAAAGTATTGTTGGCTCATATACCCAACCCCCAACCCACTTCTATCCTCTCAATGCTGCTATATCTCAAACCCATGCTATCACACCTGCACACAACATATCTAGATTATATTAAAAGTAAAACAAAAAATATATATCATGCAAAACACAAAAATATATGGTTAACAAAAAAATAACAATAATATATAACAATGAATATTGCCATTTTGTTAAAATTTATCTTAACAACTGCTGCCAAATGTATAAAATTGATCTAATACACACCCACTCATTCTAACCTCATCAAAAACTAATTTCATATCAAAACTAATCATACACTTACTAAAATACAATTAACATAATGTTTAAAAACATTAGAAACTTCAATAACAACTGTAAACTTATTTCAACAAAATGAAAACATTTTTTGAAGATTTCAATCTTGTTGGTTTGATCAAGCAGCTCTATACAAAATTATCTTTCAAATCAAAATATTGGAAAGAGTTTAAATAAAAAATTATCATCCTCTATAAACAAACAACTTTTAGTTCTTAATTCTAAATTTATTGTAATACAGTAATCCTGGCCCTCTTCCATAAGAAAAAAGGAATTCTATTTTACAGAATTTCCTCTTTTTCCACGACCATCAAGAGCATCCACAATGCAAATACTCTCCCAAGGCATCAAATGTTATCAATCAATGCTTTTTAAATAACTTGTCTATGAGTACTACTCATTAAAAAAAACAAAAAACACACATACACATTAGGGACCATTCACAATTATAATTATTAAAATTTATTGATGGGTGGGTAAAAACGAATGAACCTGTTTGATAAAGTACATAAAATAAAATTCTAATAAATTTTCTCTTTTTCTTAACATTGCTTTTTCTCAATAAATATGGCTGAAAGTACATTTATTTCACCCTTTTGCTCCACACTAGGTCTTATATTTCAACATTTTTTTAAAAAGGGTAGATGGGTGAGTTTTGGAATTAAAGAACAATGATAATTTTTAATGATGACAATGGTGAATTGTCCCTTAACTACTTTTAATTATTATAAAAAAATAAACGTTAAGCAATGTATGACTTATTCACAAGAACAAGGTACAATTTATTACTGTTAATCAAATATTTACTAAAACAACTATTTTTATAGATTTTCATGCACACAGAGAAGATATTAATAAGTGACCAGCTTGCTGAAAAACAGAGCAAGTTTGACTCTTTTTTGCAAAGAAAATAAAAATTCTACATTTCCATACAGTATACTATAAGTTGTTACAAAACTGAGTCATTTATATGAAAAGTCCACTGATCTTCTACCCAAAAAAATAACCTGTACATGACTTTGCTTCTATGTTCTTTACATATTTTTTACCCATTAAAAGACAATAATAAGACAATAATCTAATAAAGTATACATACTTTTATCTATACATACACTTTCAGAAATTTATCATAGTGTAAAGTATTACATTAAGTGTGAGATGGACATTATGATTATCATACTCATGTCAGTTTGATTAACAAAACTTGGTAACTGTGCATGTACTCCCATAACCCATGTGCTTCTTAGACCTGAATGTACCAGTAATATTTCCTGCTATAAAAAAATAGAGCATAAGTTACTGCAGTACTTCTTAAACATAAGAACTATCATATCCTAGTTTTCTCAACAATTTAATGATTATTAATGTAAAAAAACTTAAATTATTCACTAAAAATAGTTTACATGAGTAATTTGAAAACTTTCCAACAGTTGTCTTTCAATTTTTTATGCAGTTCTTATTCAAAAATATTACAATAAACATACCTTTTATTTTAAAAGTAAATAAATAAACTTACATTTACTAAGGTAATATTACTTTCGATATAACTTAACAGTATCTAACAATTACCTGATGCATAAACCTATCTCCAAATATGCAATTCCTAACTGAAACTCTGATTTATAACATATATTAATAAACTGTAAGTTCAATAAATTTATGAAAATATTTATAATAATGGCAACAATGTATTAAGATCTGACACTATGAGAGAGTATTTATTCTCATTAGCTAAAATCACACTGAAATCTGTAAGTACAGATATTTTTTTTTAACTAAATGAAATACGTAAAAATGCACCAATAATATTATTTTAATTATTAAAAAACATTAGCTGAAGGACAGTTAAATCTGTGCTGCAAATTTTAATGGAAATTACATGTCAAAAAATTAATTACTGAAAGACTTGGAAATTTATTTACATTGTATCATAATTACTTTTATTTTTTTCAAGTTGATTCAATCTGTTTGTACTAGCTACTAAAGAACATGGCCAACATTAAATTCTATAATAAGCAAAAAGATAGACTGATAAAAAAAGCTTGGATTAATCGTGCACAATATCTACTGTGACCCACCAGAGTTGACATTTTGAAGTTAGTCTTGTGTAATTTCATGTTAATTTTTTATTTCATTACCAGAAACAGGAATTTTCTAGTAATTACTGATAAATGTTAAGTTTCAAAACAACACACTTCTTTCAAAACATGGACTGGTGACTTAGAGTTTTGTGCTGATAACGGAATAGTAACAGTGAATGTATAGTGAAAAATGATGTACAATTAATACTGATGTGTAACTTATGAAACACACTGTAGATATTTATCTATAAAATGGTGCAACCATTTACAATGTAGGAACAGTTTTATATAGTGTTAAAGAAACTGAGGATTGAAAAGGTTTCTTATTGAAACATAAGTTACTAATAAGTAATTAAAAATTGCAGAGGACTAGAATTGTGAACTATGCTTGTTAAGATATATTTGTTTAAATATGATCCATTTCTTCAAATATATAACATTTGGACAAAAAATAAATTCCAGCAATGTCAAAACTACTTTAAACACACACCTGGACAACAACTGGTATTGCAAGGATACTAGTTTTTGCAATTAGCAGAGTAATAATAAGTTAACTACTGAGGTATTACATTCGTACAATATAAGTTCTTTTTATGTGCCTAGTTAAACTACTGGCAGTGTATTAAGTGCCTATCAACAAAAAACAAGTAAAGAACTAAATGCTTACTAGAAATTTCAATATCTTCAAGCTCTACTTTCACACACACACATACACACACAACTTCTAGTACAATTCTCCCAAAAAACAACATCTTGTTTAACACAAGAAATGGCTTGTTATGAAAGCCATGGAAGATCTCTACTGGCAAAACCAATGTGCACTATTACACATTACTTTCTAGATAACACCATATTCTAGTGTAGGAAATACATCTTGATGTTACTCTACCACAGCCTTCCAATGACCACAAACTGTGACACAATAACTACTACAATCACATGGTCCATTGAAGTTTCTGTGTAACTATGTGCCAACTTTGAAGAACAATTTACTTACATATACCAGGCTCAACTCTTCTGTTAGCCTGTTGCAGGATTAAGGCTTTGAATGGCAAACTGACTGTTTTTGGTAGGAGTTATTGGACTGAGCAAATGCTGTTGTAGGGTTGGGGAAATGGGAGGAAGTTTTGGAGTAGATAATGTCATAGAAGGGGTCTGAGGGGTTGGAGGTAGGTTGGTAGGCAAGTTGAGAGTCTGCTGTTTAGTCGAGTCTGGAGTATGAAGTTGGGATTCTTCGAATGATTGGGTGAGAGGTGTCGCATTTTGTCCAATCTCAATCTGGGAGGTTTCAGCCCAGGTTATTGTGGGTTTCACTATAATGGAACTGGTTGTATTGTGGTTAGCAAGAGTAGCTTCACTGTTTGAAGAGAAGCAAGTAGTATTGTCTGACTTTCTAAGAACTACCAAACTACTAGGGTCTGTCTTCATTTCACTGCCTACTTCTCCCCGTTTCAAACATTGTTGAAGTATCATTGACTTCTGAGATCCTGTAACTGAAGCCATCTCATGATCAGCAGAAGCCTGGAGAACTTGCTTGAGCTTCGTATTCTGATTCGTTATGCTGCTGTTGCTCTGATGTCCATGACTCGGTGTAAGTATTGTAGCAGTCTGGACAGACTGACCTTGGGTCAGCAAGGCCATGGTAGCAGGGCTGTTAACAATTGATGCTAGGGTCCTGTCCTTTGAAGAGGACAAAGATGGTGTAGTGGATGAACCGGTATGATGCATTAAGTAATGGTTTTTCAGGCCTTGGGGTGTCATATAGGTTTTACCACATTGACATTTATAAGTTTTCTTTGGTCTGAGACAGAAGTAAGAAATAAAAAAACATGACATAAATATGTTACGTCAACCTTACACAGAAATTAAATATACACTTTTTATAAAACTTTGGTCATTCTTTTACTTGGCTAAATATTTTCGCTTGTGCCTTAGAAACCTCAAAGCTGAAGTCACTAAATTTCCCAAATATCAAATTTATTAAATTACTTCAAAAATTAAACAATATAATTTATTCATTAAATCAAAAGAAATTTGAATTCCAAAACATCAGCAATGGGTAAGTTTACTAATGCAACCTCTACAGTTTCTCATATTTCTTACAGAAGAAATATACAACCATTCTTACAAAGAAACAAACTGGTATTGATATAATGCAATACACAAAATGATTTACAATATAAACAATATATTATTAAATCAGGTAAATATTCAGTGAGAACATGTTTAGTTTTAGGTTTATCAAAACATTCGTGATAATGTGAACAGCTTTGATCTTTATTAACATTTGTTTGACATAACTCCCTTTTCCTAACAATAAACATTCTAGCTGGCATGTAAAAATTTAACTTAAGTAACATAACTACAATCACAGATAATTACTGTATATATTTTCTTAAGACATATTTTCTTCTGTACAGTGAGGAATAAGCTAAAAACAATCTAATGAATACGAGTTGATAGCCAAAAAGAACCATTGTAAAGAACAAAAAGGTAAAGGTTTATAGAGTAGATCTACAGTTTTCTGAGAGGTAAAGCACAACATAAAATCAATAAGTCAAAAATTAAAATCTTGTTCTTTATTGAATTTGACTATTATTAAAAATAACTTAAAATTGCAAAGCCAGGATTATTTTTTAATCATTCAAAAAATACTTTGATTATTTCCAACCATAAAAAGTTGAGATAAGCATCAGCATTCAAAACTGCACATAGATAAACACATAAAATATGTTTGGGATAGTTTTCTATTTTTTTTGTAATTAATCGTGTAGTGTGAAACAATGTGTTAGTCAGTGTAGCATAGATTAAATTCAGTATTTGGAAACTTACTTAATACTTACTTAATAATTTTACTGTAAAGATAAAATCAAATCTGTGAGACTGGAAACAGTCTCATACACTCTACATGTTTTGACATCTTACTGCGTCATCACGAGGAGTTCAATATTTTGCAAGAGTTAAGACCTATATACAATTTCAAAATCGTATGATCAAATTTACATACAATTCAGCTTAAAAAATTTCACACCAATGTTATTAAGGTAATTATCAAAATTCATTACATTCTTTTTACCATGCCTCAATATCAAAAACATATCATCAACATACCTTAACCACATATCTGGTTTATTTTTCACTTTTCTTAACACTTCAGTTTCAAACTGGCTACAAATAAATTACATAATAATGGAGATAAAGGAGAACCCATAGTTAAACCTTCATTCTGTTTATAAACTTTACTCTTAGTGTAAAAATATGAATTTTTAACACATGCTTCAACAAGATTAATTGTACCTGTTATTTTTGAAGTTGAATTCTCATTTTCTTTTAATGTTTTCTCAAAATATGTAATGGCGTTTTCCACAGGTACTTTAGAGAACAATGAAACAACATAAAAAAACTAAAATATCATTCAGATCTAGTTTTACATGTTTAATTCTTTACATGTTTAATTGTGGATTTATTTTTATCCCTTTAAAATAAGGACTTTTTTATATGAATTTTGCGGCATTGTGTATGAAACTATTAGTGATTTTTGAAATTTTATGTAGGTCTTACCTCTTGCAAAATATTGCACTCCTGATGATAACACAGTAAGACATCAAAATATGTAGTGTATAAGACTGTGCCTGGTCTCGTAGTATTTGATTTTGAGACTGAGGACAGTCTTTTTTTTAATTTATTATGTACTAGTAAAAGTTAACTGCTTCTTTAATACATCACTATGAAAACTTGTACAAGTATAAAATTTTTGTATATGTATTTATTAAATATGCCCTAAGTGTATTTAATTACTTAGGGAATTACTATTTCTAGAAAATAAACAGTAGTACTACCTTTGAATAAATTTATGTATAAAATATGAGATATATAGCTAATGGATTTATCTTAATAGACTATACCTATGAGCATATTTTAAAGTAATTATTTCATTACTGCCCACTTACTTTCCCTCCTTTTTATGTCCATTCTTTGCATGGTATTTGATGCCATTGAGATTCTTGTAACGCTTCTTACATCCAGCAACAGGACAGGCAAAAGGTCTTCCCTCCCCGGTGTTGGATGAGCCAATCATTCTGTAAAGAATAACTCTCATGCATAATAAAACGAAACGTTTTGCTAATACCATTTTTTTTTTTTTATTACTATTCATCCTAGGTAAGTAAGCTGTAGGTTTTGTTATACACTATTCTGAAACACTAACTCAGATAGTAATGTCAGTAAAGGATGGATCTTTAGCTTCCTTCAAAACTAATACAAATGGGATAGTGCTTGCAGATTTTTGATAAATATATCAAAGTATACTTCTAGTCTTGAAATACTCCTGAATAAGATACTTAATGTGAAGAGATGGTCGAAATTCAATCAGGCAACTTTGTTTTGATTTTCAAAAATACACTCTCATTAAAGGACAATTTCTTGTTTCTTCATCTCCTAAACTGCTATATGGTGTTTCAGGGGAACAGATGAAATCCTGATAGTTATAAACGAAGCATTAGTGCTAACCTATGCTCTACATCAAACAAATGCTACTACTTACATGTATGAAGATCCTTTCTGATGAAATATGGGAACTTTTAGTGTTTATTTCAATGAATGTGAAAAGTATAATTTCTGGTTAAAATTATCAAATGCCTAGAGTTTTCTGCCTTTACAATAGCAAGGTCTATTACTACCTGAGGATGAATTCGGACATAAACTCGTCCTGCTTGGCCCATGAATCATTACTATCTTCTGATCCACTCATCATTTCTTCATCTTCAACTTCACTTCCTGAAGAAAAAGTATAATGCTCACTTTAGTTACAAAATCCTAGTGTTTAGGACTTTCATGTCATCTGTGCTAAATGTAAAACTAGCAAACAATAATTAAAATATTTCAACATCTGTTTGTTGATATGAAATAAAAACAAAACCCCACAACAACTTGAAAATTACCTAAGTATTGAGAACTGGAGTTATCCATAAAAGGAGACAGAAATCCTTTGAAAACACCACTGGCATAATAAGTTAGAAAAAATAATAATGAAATAAGATGGTAAATTTTATTTTAGATTTTAAGAAAAACATACCCTCCAAAAAAAAAGCTATAATTTAAAACAAATGTTCAGATTATAATCAAATGGAGTTATTACTAATCCAATGAGTTTTACTTTCAAGGTGCAATGAAAGTAATGCCTCATGTGATATTTATTATTAGTTGTCTGAAAATGATCAAAATCTGTCTTCTAAACAAAAATGTGACTTTTAAGTGTTGAATATATCTGATAGTTAAAGGATGTCAGCTACGGCAATTGATAAGTTTCACACATAGGGACCCAACTTTTGTTGTACCCTGTACTTATCACACGAAGAAGTTTTTTGAATTAAGTATTCATAGTTGAAACCATTTAGATCTTAAAATCTAACTTTAGGGATTATATTAACACATTTTACCACTTCTCACAAAACATTAATACCTAAATAATGTTCCACCATTTCAGTGTAAAACACCAAGAGAAAAAAAAACAATTCAGCCAGTATTTTTTTTTATCCAAAAACTTTTTCAATCGTGAAACACGCTTAAAAAATTATCGTCAGTATTCGGAGTTTATGTATAACCGAAAGTAAACAGCAAAATTGTACTAAAAGTAAGCATAGAACTACCAACACACTGAGTTTCAAAATGTTTACACCTTGCTATAATGAGTACACAAAAATAAATATTGTATGTTGCTTACAAAATTTTACATTTGTCTCACTCTCTAAGTTATGAAATGGCATGAAAGTGACTTTTTCAGGTTCAGATACTGAACATTTACCAAAAGAAATCTTGCTAGTTAAAAAAATTTCCCTATATGATCTTTTTTTCAATTAAAATAACTATAAATTAGTGCAGAGTTTAGTTATGACTTGCTCTTTAGTGTGTTTTTAATTTTACATTACTGATAAATGTCTTTTCATTGATAAATAACCCACAATTTAGCAATACATCTTACACACTGGCATTAACTACCTCTAAAAGTTCAAATAACATGCTTTCAATGATATATTGATAATAGCATGCAAGTTCAAACTGTGTGAAATATAACCAATACCAGATTCTACTGAACTTAATATTTTCCTAAACTGAAAATATATTTCCAATAGATACTTACTACATCTCAAAGTTAGATATTCTCGATTTAACTGCCTCTAATGTGCAAGTTTATGTTCAACACTAGCCTTGAAACTCCCATCTAATTCCAAGCATATACCACATGGTTCAGCTACACTTAAATAGGCAAATTAGCATGTGACAGTCCTCCACCAATAGGAGTGTAACAAACCTTCCTACTGAAGCTGACTCCCTCTATGCAGTTGAACCCACTTCAAGATTAGGCACGTAAAATAACACTGGAAGTGGGGAGGACAGCTGGGAAGTGCGAGCGGAGGTAAGTGTCTATCAGAAATATATTTATTGTGTAGGAAAATATTAACTTCTGATACAGTTACTTACCTTCGCTCACAGTTACAGCTAGAATCTCACATTCAGCAGGTGGAGAGACTTGTGTAAAATTATCTAGATGAGCACCCTTCAAAAGTGTCTGAAGAGCACTCATGGAGTATGCCCCCTCTTTGAAGAGAAAACACACTCATGGGAGACCACACCACATCTGAACCAGGTATACTATTTGCCCATGTGGAGCCAACAAGTGTTGTGTTGCAATCAAAGGGTGGAACAAGGTAACAATTCTTTAAGGAAAAAGAATGTGTGTAGAGTGGCTAGGGCATGTCAGACTGTAAGCAAGAGGTCATCTACAGTCCAGACTAGTGGCACCAGGAGGAACTCGACCAGCCCATAGTAGGAGGAGGATCATCAACCATTCACCTCAGGTCTAGGAACCCGAGGAGAAGAGGAGCCTCTTTTCCGAGAACCTAAACCATCATGTGTGCAAATCCAGCACAACCTGGAATGTACATCAGATGACATTGGGAAGTTGGAAATGCAACATGGAGGTTCAATTCCAATCCAAAAACAATCAGCATTAGGGATGTAATATCTAGTCCATGGAAGGAGGAAGTTCTCAGCCCACTTCACATGTGAGGATTTATGTTAGCTGGTCCAGCTCCACCTAAACTAGTCACTCAGAAACCGACATCCAGGTGCCAGTAGGTGGGATGGTTCCCAGCTGTAGGGGTGAACTGCAAAATAGATGGAAAAAATCCAGTCCAGACCGACAGCATCTGGAGAAAACATCAAACCCACGGCAGGAGGATAGTCACGTTTTCTACACAGGCAGAATGCCATTGCCCTACTCTTGAATGAGTAGAATTATGCAAACTCAGGAGGATTTCTGGTAAGTGGTAAGGACTACCATACTCCACTGGAAGAAAGGGGGAAGGAAATGTGTTGGAGAGTCCAGAGGAATGCATCACCGGAGAAAGTGCAATGGATGACCATGAAACCCTATTTTGAAAAGCAGACCTTTCCTGATTCCAGCAATCTAAGGAATGTCAGAGAGGGGCAGCAGCCTCTTTCTACTTTACTCATGTTAGTCCATAAGTATATGGTCTGGTACGAACATATTTATGATGCAATATACTGTGAGTAAGAACCTGCAAGCTGTCTTGTGGAACACCCCATCTCAACAGTGAATGTGATAGACCTTATAGATCTCATGGTGTGGATTTTGGATATCAGTATACCTGGAAAGGCACCACTCTCCACTGAGCAGGATTCATAACATGTAAAGTAGGCCCCTGAAAACGAAAAGAAACTAAAATAACTTACCCACTCAGAATTGTACTGACTTATGGAAAATGGCTAAGGGAAAGACAATATCTGGCTGAGCAGGAAACCACCAGATGGTGCAAGTAGCATGACACAAAAGTGTGGGGAGTGGCCCACAAGCTGGCCTGGAATATCCTTTAAAGGGAAACAGAAAAGAGCAGCCAAGTATATTGGGAGGTGATGGATCTTATAGGACGAAACACAGAACAATTGGTAAGATTCAGAATAAAGGGAGTGAGTGCCTTCAAACACGAAACACCATAAAGCATGGACTGGACACAGGAGATGATCTGGATCAGAGTGGGAGTAACTATGGGACATGGAAGGAAGGGAAATAGGGGTGAAGGCAAAATCTCCTTTGCAGGCAGCTGATATTTTGGGAATAAAGGGAAATATGGGTGAAGGCAAAATCCCCTTTGCAGGCAGCTGATATTTTGGGAAGGAAAGAATGATTGGGATATAAAAGAACATAGGTTTTGTGGTACAAAATGCACGGAATAATTATGACGAACAAGTCTGATAAGTGACGTCCACAAGCTAAAAGAAAAAGGAAACATGTCTTCAAGGAAAAGTGGTATAAGGAACATGAAGGGTTCAAAGAGAGGAAAGGGCATGGAGAGCAAAATTTAGATTCCAGTCCAACAATTGAGTGAAATGAGAAGGATGATGGAGATGAATAGACTCAAATAAAATGGAAATAACTGGAGAGGAAACACATGGCAAAAACGGAAAAAATGAAAGGCAGATGACAGGGTCACCCTAAAGCCTGCAATGGTTGATACAGACAGACCCATGTCAAACAAACATGTAAAAAGTCAGATATCTGAGGAAAGAGAGAATCCATGCCACATAGACTCATGACAGAAGATTCTCCACTCACATACATACACGGACATGGATGAGAAATGGACAGAGTGAGACAACAGGGATGCTACACATGTGGATAGTCCCTAACCACTCACAAGGGACCAGAAAAAAGCCATGCATGAAGCCAGTGTTAGAATGGAGAGACAAAGCACCCCTGAGTGAGGTTGTGCAAGGAGAGACCAGGAGAGAGGGAGAGGTAATGGAGGTATTTCCTTAAGAAGGAATGGAAACTTCGGTTGAGCCAGCCAGAAAGGAGCTACGAGAAGGACTCTACATAAAGTAAAATGGATGAGAGAAATTACTCAGGAAAAAAACAGGTGGGAGGGTATGTACAAAAGAAGAGGTCTTTCCAATCCTGGCTGAATGCATCCACAACCAAAGCCAAAGGATGTGGAACTGTGGACCAAAAGAGGAAGTTTCACATTCAGTTGAGTGGCAAATGCACACAGCTTGAGAGTATCCAACTGAAAACATAGTCATTGGAATATCTGGTGGTCGAGAGACCACTCAGTGAGTAGAATCTTGTCAAGACGGGACATACAAACTGTGACAAGATTGAGGGCACCTGGTAAGTGAGAAGCAAGCAAACAAGTTTGATGGGCTGTGAGCCTGGAAAAGGAGCTCTAGAGTGCCAAAACATAATGACCATAATCGAGTGCCCCCTTGTCAGGTCTTGTAAGAGACAACTCGACAGTTGTTAGAATAAATTACAAATATCATGCCCCACAGAGATGACAGAAATTGAAACATTGGCCAACAAACAGTAAGGAGTTCCAAAAGGTTGATGTGAAGAACTAACTCCTCCTAAGACTAATGGACCGAGATCTCCTGTGTTTTGCAGCACGCACCCAATCTTGACGAGGCATCTGTGAAGATATGGATATTCAGTATGGAGGAGGAATAAGTACTCCCACTGTCATGTTATCCTTGTCTACCCATCAGAGGAAGTCAGACTGAGGAAATGCAAGAAGGGATACCTGTAAATCCAGAGGGTCCCTGATCAGGTGCCATTGATCATATAGTACCCACTGCAAGGAATGCATGTGGGCATGACCTAGAGGGATAAGAGCCTCCAGTAATGCCCAAGTCCCCAAAAAAGACAGAACCTCTCTCTCTCACAGGGAGTGAAGGTGCTGCTAGCACTCTATGAATTAAAAACTCCATGGCTAACAGACCAAGAGGATAAGGCTGGGCTCAACTGAGATGCGAGTTGAAAAATATCTCCAGAAGAACAAGATATTGGGCGGGATAGATAATGGACTTCTTCATCTTGATAATCCAACCCACCCAAGCAGATTCTCTGATGATAATTTGGGTGCATGTGGAAGACTCTTTGAAGGATGGAGTCAGAAGAAGCCAATCATCCATATAACAATGGAAATTGAGCCCACAAAAATGTCAGGCAAATGACCAACCGACATAAAGTGTGGGGGTGCCAATGCCAGTCCAAAAGGAAGAGCTCAGAATTGATAAAAGTGATCCTGATGAGCAAAATGTGGGTAACAATGTGAAGTCCAGCACAAAACGAATGTGAAGACAAGTGGGAAGTAACTGGGACAGGGGATAGGGCAGGAGGTGTGAGAAAAAGGAGGGAGAGTCCTTTGAATAACCCAAGGATTTGCATAATGATGATATGCAAGTATATGAGCCTCTACATTACATGGGAGACACAGCATACTAACCCCCATGCATAAATGATCTGCAAAACATTTGGCAAGGACCCCAATATGAGGCAAAGGGGGAAAACCAAAAACTCAGAACTAGTTGCTGCAGTTAATCAGGAAAGGGAGGGATCAAATGACAGGTGACAAAGACAAAACACAACATATCTGTGATATCAAGTCTAAAAATGGTGACTGAAGTCTAGGTGTTTCAACAGGCTGAGAACCTGTTTGCACAGCAAAGGAAAGGGGGATGCTGTTCAAGTCTGCATTGTCTTGATCTAAGTTTTCGGGTAATGGCAGAATTGCTTGTAGATCAGAAGATCCCTCAGCCTATAGGAAAGAAGCCATTGCTTGACAAACTACAGCCAACATTTCCTCCACCAATAACGCCACACCTGCAGCCATTGTCCGTAGCCATTGTATTTGTAATAATAAATTATGAATTCATAAATATTGACTGAATACTGGTAACTGAGTGAGATATAGAATTCATAATCAAATAAAGAAATCAATTCGATAGTGGATTAAAACAATACTTTGAAATGTGAAAATCAGTAACTGAGTATTTTCAAAATGCACTAAAGAAAAAAAAAATGTTCGAAATCATACACAAAGTCTTAACACCATCGTGCCAAATCAAGAGGTGAAGTTTGGGTTCAACTGCATAGACGGAGTCAGCTGTGACAGGAGGGTTTATCACACTCCTATTGGTGGAGGACTGTTGCATGCTAATTTGCATGCTTAAATGCAGCTGAACCACGTGGTATACATATAGGATTGGGTGGCAAGCAAAAATTTGTGCACTAGGGGGCAGTCAAATCGAGAATAGCTGTAACTGTCAGAGGAGGTAAGTAGTCACATCAGAAAGTAGATCAATTTAATTAGTAAGAAAAAATGGCACTATTTTTACCTGTTGGTGGAGTACTATTCAAAGATGAACTTGGGGATTGCATTTGCATTTTCTTCTTTGGCTCATTGATTGTCTCTTTCTTTCCAGTTTCTGTAAAAACTCTGTCAAGAAACAATTTCCTAATAAATATATATAATGAAACATTTAAAATATTCAAAAGCATTAATGGGTACTGATAATAACAGCTAACACTTAACCTTGCACATAGGTACAATTAGGTAACTATTTATGGATTATAATTAACAAGAAATTGCCAGCACATATATAAGTAATTATCCTTAGTTCTGAAGCCTTTCTGACATGTAAAACTAAGCACAACCAAACAATCAATTAAAGGAAACTAATTATACAAATCAAAGAATGCTTTCATTATGCTTTGGTTGGCTAAAACAGCTGTTTATAAATTTGAGTCTACCCTTATTTAAAAGTTGATATAGACAGCACATATACAAGACAACTTTCATGCTTTTGTGTGTATTATGTGTAACATAATCTTAGAAAATCTTGATATTTATCTTGGTAGTAGATACTACTTTTTTAATTAAAATTATCTTATTAAGTAAACACAATTACATTGCTATATTTTACACTCTTTATCCTACATGATGAACACATTCTTACTGGTTTACACCATACTTTCAGTATTCTCAACCCCATCCTATATCTACATGTAACCTTAATGATTTGGTGCCTTTTCCTCATCCCACATAATCCAGATGTGTTAACTTGGCCAATCAGACCAAATCATATTAATCAGCTTCTAATTCACTTCAAAATCAAATGGCAAGCTGATCCTCAGTTGAATTTTACAAAAACATAAAAAACAAAGAGGGGTAGGTGTAGGCGTGGTGAGCAACTGAGAAATGAATACTTGTATAAAACACATTTTACTTAAACAAATATTTTAATTAAGATCATATTTTTTACAATATTGTACACTTACAATCTACATACTTGGTAAAATCTGAAACATCACAAGCTCAACTCATTACAAATGAGACCAACATTTGAAAACTACTATCTTATAGCAACTTCCTGGAGAAGGCCATCTTCAACATTTCTATAACAGAGCATGCCAGAAATCACATTAGTTCATAAAAATATAATTTCTGCTCCTAAAGATCATTCACTAATGGTTCCTAGAATAATGGCCCAACACCTAAATGAAGAGAATGAGAATAATATTCATAAAACATAACTTGTCAAACATATAAGATAGTGGGGGAGGGGGACCATACCACCAGTCATGCCTGGAAAAACTAACTCCTATGGTTTTAAAGAGTTCAACTGACCTGATACAACAGGGAAGTCAGTAAATCATGTTTCTTTATCACACAAATCTAATGAAAACTTCTTCATGTATATTTCAGACTCCAACAGCATATATTCCACAGCATTAGGATGATATTAACATTAGTTCAATAGCCATAATAGAATAGAAAGAAACCTTATTTTCAATCTCTTCTGGGCCAGACTATATTGAAACACCTTCACAAGCTATGAGATTATTTGAAGAATTAGCAGAAGAATGGTTGTCATAAAATTACATAATATGTAGACAACAAGGTTCTTTCAAGTTGTCCCTGAAAACTCATTTCAGAAAAGAAAGAAAAAAAAAAAACAGTCAAAAAATTAAACCAACCCTTTAATTTTTAGGAATTCATTGATTCTCCTCTTAGAGTTTTGTAAGGTGCTGACCTCTACTACTGCCAACAACAACTCATTACACAAGCCAATCACCCTGTTAGAAGAATAAAACTGGTTTAATGGAACCTAGCATGCCTTTTCCAAATGTTAAACTTATGTCCCTTAATCTTATCATCTTCAGAATATACAACAATGACATAACAGGCCTTTATCCTATCATTTCTCCAGATAATTCTGTTTATTTCAATAAGATTGTTTCTTACCATTCTTTTCTCAAAAGAAAATGGGTTAAGAGATTTTAACCTACTCCTATGAGATAACCCTTCCATCCCATCATCCTAATAGCCCTCCTACCACTCTTTCCAGTAAATCAGTATCCTTGTTCTAGACAAGACAAAAACTATACATGATAAGTGAAAAACCCCATTAAACAGAACAAACTGTCAGAAGTCTGATATTAGAGAATCTAGTTTCGACATATTCATGCGTGCTCTTCAGTCTCACGAATGTGTCAAAACTAGTTTCTCTAATATCAGACTTCTGACAGTTTGTTCTGTTTAATGGGGTTTTTCACTAACTGCAATAGATGATATCACAAGGTAGGCTTAACTAGGACATTTGTATACAGATAATCACTTCTTTTCACATGTAGTTAATATGTTCATAAATACCCCTCAAAATTCTAGTAGTTTCACAAATAGCAAAATAGTGCAGCTTTCATGACATAAGAAGATAATCCATTCCAAAGGACAACTACTCTGTTAGAAAAATAAAGCTGTCTTTGATGAAGATGACACCTACCTTGCCAAAATTTATATTTCTGTCCTGTAAGCTTACCATTCTCACAATTAAATAAAAGAAAAAATGCATCAACACTATTAATTCCCTTAAAAATCTTAAACACCTCAATCAGATCCTCTCTAACGTTTTTTTTTTCAAGAGAAAACAACTTCAGAGATCTTATTCTATCCTCGTATCACAAACTTTCCATCGCAGGTATACTAATGAACCCTTTCCAACAATACAATGTCCTTTATAAGATAAGGAGCACATGAGTGAACACAATACTCCAAATATAGCCTAACCAATACCCTATACAATGACATTATAATCTTTTAAGACTTTTATTCAATATTTCTGTAGATACAACCTAAAATCCTATTTGCTCTACCACTAGCGACAACACATTAGTTGGATGGCTTAAGAAACTGATCAACCAGAACACCAATGTCTTTTTCTTCCATAGCACTGTCAAAATTATACTCATAATTCAAACTGGGATATCCCATTTGTATTACCTTGCATTTATTACAAGTAAAAGCCACCTGACATTTATTTGATCAAATCACTAAATAATCTAAATCCTTCATGAAAAGTTTTTTGGTGTACAAAATTTGAAGATAGCTTTTATATGTGGAAACATCTGTTAGCTGAGTTCTTGCACAGATCATAAAATATAACGTTGATAAATGGAAACATCGGCACATGTAGATACGTAGATCTTGAAAGTCGAGTTGTTCAAAACTTGAAAATAGCATTGATAACTGGACACTAATAAATTTTGGTACGACTCGTTTTATGATGCATGTCTTTAGAAAGACAGTAGATAGTTTAAGAGTTCTGAGCTTACCTCGAAGCTTTACAAGTTGGTTTAGATCTTCAATCTGATTCTTGGTGTACAGCTATCGGAAATACTTCAAAAGTTTTTTGGTGTACAAAAAATGGCATGTTAAATGACATGTCCTAATTGATAAGTGGTTTATTGAATTACTGAGTCAACAACTAAATGCCTTCTACCCTTACAACAACTAACAGAAACCCAAATAGATTCAATCTCCTTGCTATTAATTTTGATATCCTCAACTTGAACAAGCCGTGACTCACATTTTACACATAAATCCACTACTCCCCCTCATTTTAGCACTCTATCCCTATTAAACATTCTATAACCTTATATTTCAAAGAAATTTCTGTCATCAAAACTGTCTACAGATTTCAGTTATTACCTTAAGTCAAAATCCTCTGTTATGGCCAGTGTTCTAAAGGCATGATCCATTTTTTATTATACTTCTAGCATTACAATAATAGGTTTAGCCTACCATTAAAACTATTTTTCTCCTTTTTTCCAACACTATACCCCTCTCTAGGTTTTGTTTTCTTCATTATTCTAGCCCTCACCACTGTCCAATCTTAGTTTAAAGCTGTCCTTACAGTTAAGTCAATAACCCTTGCAAACAAGCCAGCCTCTACTCTACTTAAATGTCAACCATCCATTCCAAAAAGCTCTATTTTCTCACTGAACTAATTACAAAAATCTGACCAACCAACCTGCTCATCCTTACATTTTATGCCTAGTATCCATCCCTAGTGATCTACTTATAATTTCATCCCCACAATTAAATCTTGGCAGTATCCCTGACAGAATTAAGTTACTATTCCTCATTTTTTTGAATGCCTTTATCGGTGCCTTGTACTTAACAATTAGCTCCTATGACCTATAATTTCATCCCCACAATTAAGTCTTGGCAGTATCCCTGACAGAATTAAGTTACTATTCCTCATTTTTTTGAATGCCTTTATCGGTGCCTTGTACTTAACAATTAACTCCTATGACCTATAATTTCATCCCCACAATTAAGTCTTGGCAGTATCCCTGAAAGAATTAAGTTATTATTCCCCATTTCTTTGAATGCCTTTATCGGTGCATTGTACTTAACGATTAGCTCCTATGACCTATCCCTTCCTACATCATTAGCCCCTATGTGCACTACAAAGACTGCATCACAGCTAGCAGCTTTTGCTATATCATTTGCTCTGTCATTTATATCCTTTGCCCCTGCCCTTGGATAGCATAATCTAATTTATTCCTCCCTATTTACCCCACAGTCTCCTATCCACATGCTGTACTAAAGAATCACCTATTACAATAATCTCCTGATGTTTTTCATTCCCATCCCTATCTATCCCTTTTTGTTATCATTCTTTCACCTAGTTCCTCTTCTGCAGAAGCTAAGACTGCAATCTGTTACCTAAATAGAATCTGCTCATTATAATTAAATCTATTAATATTAGCCCTATGTTTACTGTTTTAACTTTCTGGAAGTCATTTTAGCCACTGTATTCTTTGTATGTAGAAGTTTAAGTTATTCTTTAAATTCTGCTATCATTTCACACAGTTTACACTTCTCTTTATCCACTGCCTCTACCCTACTTAGAATAGCCTCCAATTTCTTTAACCAACCTACAAGTTATACATTAAAACTACTAACTTCCTTAAATGTGCATGCCAGTCCCAAGTTTCTAAATAAAACCCACTCCTTGCACCCATCATGTCTTATGTGTTAGCTTTCTTTAATATTTTACTAAATCATTATGTAAAGTTTCTTTTATCAGACTCTATAGATTTTTATTGACCTGATAAAACTAAGTAGACTATAATTGCTAGGTTCACTTCTATCACCTCCCTTAACTCTCACTACCACATTTATAGATAAATAGTTTTTCCAGTGCCAGGTATATTTTTAGAAACAAGTGGTGTTTTATAACTTCTTATACCTCACTTATCACTTGACATGTCAAGGTCACATTTTTTAGAAATAACTGCATAAGATATTTCACAGATGATCATGTTCACAAAATTGCAAAAAATAATACAGTAAAATGATTATTCATGCATTATTTTATACAGTTTGTACATTAATATGATACATTTATGATTTGTTCAACTGATTATAAATTATAGATTTTATTGCACACCTATTTCTCAGAACATTTACATAATATCGATAATAAAGCAAAGGTTATATAGTGTGTTTCATATATGTGACTATAGGAGTGAGAGTTAAAAATAGGAGTAATGGTAGTAACTCTCCAATACTCTCTGACTTGGACAGACAACCAAACTTTCATCAATGGAAAGTCTGCGAATGGTAAAACCAAAGTGGAGAAAAATGATATTGGGTAATAAGATTGCATTTGATTTAAATGTATAGATTATAAAATGAAAACAAAAACACAATGTACAGTGTGCCAGAGCTCCTAACACAAGTTAGAAATACTTATGTACAAGCCAATTAAAATATAACCTGCATGGAATGAAAAACACAATATGATTCCAGAGGTAAGATATTACCTAGAATACTAGTTTTACATAAAGGAATAGAGAACACAACAATCATGCATTTATGCACTTTATGGTGAAATGTACATACATAATACTAAGTAAAAACTATAAAACTGATTTTGAATAATAGACCACTGACTCAAAACCTCAAATGCATTTATCTTAGAAAACTGAGATTCTGAATTTAAGTTTTTATAGCAGTTACTAAGAAAAAAGTTGTTGAAAACTAACTAATGTATACATTAAAGTATTCAGTCATACATGCAGAATAACAATAATGAACAATAATTAAAACTACTTAGAAAAATAACAGAACATGGTGTTAGAAGAATATTTTTCCATGTTATTAAAATCATTTAGAGAAATTATGTATTTCATTTGAGACATGTTTTTTTTTCCTCAAATATTTAAAACATATTCACCAAATCATTATGTTTGAAAAATAATTACTGCTTACCTTAGAATGTAACTAATAGGAAGACTTGATGGGTGTTGAAGTTCTTGTTTCTCCACCAAAGATGGATCAAAATCTTCAAATGGAATTATATAATAATTACACGAAGGCTTTCACACAATGCAAACTTAAGTATTTAAATACGGTTTTTATTATTTTTAATTGAAACTCATGTTCTATGACAAAAATGATGTTTCAACCAAGACAATCTTCAACTGACTACCAGCTATGATGAAAAACATAAAATTGAAATACATTTCTTCCTACATTCAATATGAAGTTAAGTGAGAAGTGATTTGAGAAAACCTCTAGTTTTGTTAGCTGTACTTCAGGAAAGATTACTTTTCATATTGATCCGTTGCAGCTAACTCGTGCACCTTTTTATACCACTTTCTAGCAGGATAAACATATATATTATAACTTGGATAAATAATAATAAAGAATGAATTGACATCTCTAAATGGAAACTTTATCTAGTTTTAATTTGTGCAAGTAGATGCCCTTTGTCAGGCAGTAAAGACCATGTTTTGCACAAAATAAAACTAGATAAAGTTTTCATTTAGACATCTCAATTCATTCTTTTTTTATCACTCATCCAAGTTTTTCTTCTCACATCTTGCAGAATAACACTCATTCATTCAAGAATATATATTATAGTTTTATATTTAAAACAAATCTACATTAAGTAGTTGTAAATGTTTATTTAAAAGTTACATCCATCTATTTGCAAAATCTATCATTTTTTATATTTATATTTTGATCATTATTAATCTTATTTTCATTGCTATTAATTAGTTTTACAAACTGTTCAAAAGTATTTAACTAACACTGAATGTGATAAATTTAGTTAATTGTAAATTGTATTTATGGAGTTTTATTTTGAGATTTATCAAAATGTCACTAATAAATTACAAAAATGATCTGCCAATACACAAAATTAGAAAAAACTTTGAAGGTGACATTTCTTCGGTTCAATCACATGTTTCTACAATTTAAAAAGACATAAGATTAATGTTTATTAATTTAATTTAAAATTCTCTTGATAAAGTACCACACTCCAAATTTTGCTCTATGTACATTGCATTCTTAAAACATGGAAACAACCAGGGTAACAGAAAGTCACATAATATGTCAAGGTCACCTTTCAACCCATTATATAAAAATAAAATAAACCATATAACTATCCAAAAAAAATTTACAAACATTCCAGAAGTTTACTGTATAACTGAAAATACCAAAAGTACATTAAAAATTATCTCACTGTTAGAAAGCAGAGCATTAATATATCAGTAGTTTTTCTAATGAATTAACATTACTAGGATCCTTCAAGATGTATATTTCATATTAGATTATAGAATATACAAGACACTAAAAGACAACTTAGACTAAGAAGATGACTTTCTTCCATTTATCCCATCATCAAAACTAAATTCAAGGCAACTTTTCACATCCATATACCAATAAAATAAAAAAATTAAAAACACAAGAATGAGCAAAATTATTGAAGGTAATTTTCCATTCAAAATTGCTAAAGGAATTGTGTGAGTAGTGGGATAAAACAAGAGGAAATCTTTAATAGCTGCATCACTTGAAATTCTTTCAGGCAGGGTTAGAGTAAATTAATCTAAGAGACCACTTTTTACTTTCTATTAGCTATATTTTTGTGTACTAGCAATACCAAGCGTGGGGTGTTCAAGATGCACATATACCCAATTGAATTTTATTACTCATCAGGATCTCTACCAGCCTACCCCAAAATTGAAATTCTTTTAGGCAGAATTTGAATAAATTAATCTATGAGACCTTGAGCATGGTAAAATACATCAATCAAAAGGGTTTGACCTCCTGAGCCCAAAACTGTAATTATATCTCAAATTGGTCAAGAGAAGACGGAGCTACGAGCTAAAAGTTTGTACTTGAAAGACGTAACAATGTTTTTGGACAACATGGGACCTATTGGTCCACCTCGGCTGTCCCATTCTCTGAACTAAACTATAACCATTAATAAATATTTTTTTCTTTAAATCATCTTAAAGCTGACCCTTATCATTCATATACTTATCAAGTTTTCTCTTAAATTCACTTAAATTTACTGCCTCCACTCAGAGCCATTCTATGAGCCACTGTGCCACAAATAAAAAGTTGGAAATACAAACATTAATATTTATTACAGATAAGAGGGATCAGCTTTGGAAGCCTAGATACAGACAATATTTTTTTGTGGTTAAAAGTTATACACTTGTGGAATTATATGTTTGATGGGGCAGTTTGTGCTGTTAGTTTGAATTATCTTAAAACCAACTGATGTGAAGAATGAGTGTGTTTCTTGTCTGTCTAATGATTATGTAAGTGCATTGGCTGACTACCTGAGGACCTATATCTGACTTCATTTATCAAAAGGAAATCTTGCCTTAATCATTTGTTATATATTTTTTAAAGATGTTACTTGTTATCTGTATGATGGAAACAATGTAAATCTGGTGTAAAAATCATTTGATACAGTATCACACTAAAGATTAACTAAGAAAATCACATTGGAATGAGTTAATGATACTGACTTACTGGAAAGGTTCATGGGGGCCTATTAAGATGATTCAAGGAATGGAAGGGATATCTTAATATCTCTTATTTTCTCTTGAGAAAAAGAATGGTAAGATTTGATCTTACTGAAGTTTGCAAAATTATCCACAAGATCAATATGATAAATGTTTCTGATTTATTTCTGCTATATTCTGAAGATAGTAGAATGAGAAGACACAAGCTAAAGATTTGAAAAATACAAACCAGGTTCCAGTTAAGATAATAATTTTTCTAACAGTAACTGATTGACTTATGGAATATGATGTGTATAAAGAAGGACAATTACATTTTTTGACTTGTAGTTGTATGTAATGCCTATTATAAATACATCCTAAAATTCTATTAGCTTTACTACTGAAAAATAGCACTGCTTCAATGGCATAAGTGACTTATTCACTACTAATACTATTCCATCTTCCAAGACCCTTATCTTCAGTCACACCATTAAGTGGGTTCCCATCTACTTATAGTTATACTAATACTGATTACCATGACAACTCAAATGCATCAGCTTGCTCTTTTGTCTGATTAACCCAATAAGTCATTATGTAAATCAAACTTCAAAGCAATTATGTTTAAACTGTACTTGTAAGGGTATTAATTCTTATACTCCAATAGTAATATTATTAATACTAATACTAAAAATACCTCAACATCCACAATACAGAGAAATACTCATTCGACTTCACACTTCCAGAATGCATAACATCCAAATTTAATAATATCAAACTCACCAATATGTGTTTCTTCAATGTGCTGAATAAGTTCTTTTAATGTAGGAAATGTTAAACCACAAGCGTTAAACTTACAAACATTCATGAAAAACACCGCCATGGCCGAGTGGTGATAACAGCTGATAACTTTATGTGATCGAGATTATATAATTTTCACTGTGTAGGTGTCACTACACTCGAACCCCGAAATTCGCTATATTTTTTAGACATAAATGGTAATGATGTTGTTGTTCTAGCGCAAAGCTGCACAATGGGCTGTCTGCGCTGTGTCCATCGCGGGGACTCGAACCTCAGACTTTAGCTTTTTAAGTCCATAAACTTACCGCTGACTCACTGGGGCACTAAATAGCAATGCCTTTACAACTAAATTATGCTCTAAAAATCTTGAAATATTTTTAAATGTAAAATAAATAAGAAAACAATATTTTCTAAACATGTTCTCAAAGTACTGATCATGATTTATGGTCAAAGTGTTAAACGTTATGGGATTTCGGTTAATTCTTAACACGCATTTTCACGCTTGAGAGTATAATAGATATATAAGAGCAAAATTTAAAAGCACTAACTAACAAATGACTGCTAAAATTAATTCTAACTGTTCAGTTATTACCAATAATTCCAAACGATAATGTAGTATTTTATCAATGTCAGGAAAAAACCAAGGAATGTTTTACGGTTATGTAACAATTAGCTTTCATTTTAAATCTTTAAACATATATTCTTACGTTAATAAAAACTTTATTCATATAAATGTATATGTCCCTTGGATTTAAATAGGGTGTGTATTTTTATGTAAAAAGGTTTTACTTTGTTATTCTTGTGAAAAAAAAAATGCCTAATGTATATTAGAATAAACTAATAATTACCATCAGCAAAAAGAGCACAGAGTGTAATAGTAGTGCTATAAGTTTGTTTGTTTTGAATTTCGCGCAAAGCTACACGAGGGCTATCTGCGCTCGCCGTCCCTAATTTAGCAGTGTAAGACTAGAGGGAAGGCAGCTAGTCACCATCATTACCTACTGCCAACTCTTGGGCTACTCTTTTTACCAACGAGTGGTGGGATTGATCGTTACTTTATAATGCCCCACGGCTGAAAGGCGAGCATGTTTGGTGGGACTTGCAGAGTCGAACTCCTTAACCACCTGGCCAGTGTTATAAGAATATTGAATAGGGTAACGAATAGGTTGGATGTTTTACAATTAAATTCGTTTAGCATCTAACTATTTTTTAATTTCATTTTATGAATGAAGATTACACTTTACATTTTTTGTTTTTGGCTGAGAGACTGAGATTCGAAAAATGTTGGGTTTTTCATGAGTCTCATATAATTTCACGTGCGTATTAATTAGTTTTTAGTGGCTTTGCAAAGGAGGTTGGTGATGTATAGTTTAGGTTAAATACGTAAATCTGTTTAAAACCTAAATTTTGTCATTGAAAGGTTGTAAATTTGTAAGTTGTTCAAAGTGTTATTTATTTAATATAATACATACATATTTTTAACTTATTATTATTGAAGTGTTTGTCTCTATATTTCAATGGTTTAATTGTTTCTAATCTTACAAGTTACAACTTACAGTACGTAACCTTGGTTATGTATTTTGCTTTTCTCCCTAGTATTTTGTTAATTGTATAAGTAATTGTGATTGAATGAAGCTTTGAGAAGTATTCACGTATAAGTTCTTAAAGTACTAAGTACAGCAGGTGGGCTTCATAATCGTAGATTTTGAATCGGAATTAACCTGCTGTACTTATTACTTTTAATTATATACTACTGGCACTGCTACTGCTTGTACGTTGTAGCAGACAACTCTCCATAAGATGGTAATTTAACAGTATATTCTATAGCTCATAAAAAAATATAAGGGAGGCATTAAAATGTGGGCATGGCAGAAGTGAGACACAAAAAATAATTTAATTTTGATGATTTACTTTCTTCTTTAATACCTAACCTCAAATATGCATTATAATATGATTAAGTTGTACACTTAGCCATTTGTTGTTGGTCTGTGATACTGATAGATGTTTTTATCAATATGAATAAGCCCAGGGGAAATAATTCAAACATTTAACCCTGTTACCACAGTGTTAGAACCATTGATCTGTAAGTTTATAGATCAGTGGTTAGAGCACTTGCTGGGTTGGGCTTGGTATTGTTACGTATCTGCTTGTTTGATAATTTCTGGTAGAAATTCTTTACGAGGAACTTCAGTGATACAAGTCCTTTCGTGATTAAACCTGTTTATTCTTTCTCAATACAACTTTTTGTAATACACAGAGTTTCCATTGTCACTTTAAACTTAATAACCTTTATAACACATGCTATAAATCACAGTGATTCACACACTTGAATTATGGTGCCTACCATTCGCTTGACTCAATTATCTATCCGCCACTGGCTTTCTTTGCCAGGCTTGTATATACTAAAAAAAGAGGGCATCTAGATCACACTCGATCTGGCAGGCAAATTCATGATCCTTCGAGAAACTCCAGCGCGCATGCTCCCAGCGTCACATGACTTCCGCTGTCGTAACAGTATCCTGACCTATGTTGATAATATTAAAAACTGAGAAAGACATGATACTAATACAGAAATTCAGCAAAAAACATTTCCACAGACATCTATAGAAGAATGATACTCATCATTATTTGAACTTTTATTTATGCCACCCATTCCATACAAAAAAGAAATATTCCATACAATAGGTACAGTTGTGTCTGATGACAAAACCAAATAAAAAAAAAAAAACAAAAAAAAACTAGAAGGACTAAACAAATGTATAATAAAACAACTATCCTACAAACTTAATAAATACTAGTATTGCTAAAGCCAAGAAAATGTCATGATCAGAATTATAGAAATCGAAAGAAAAAGATGTGGAAAGTGAACAACAAATCTTTCTTACTACCACACACTATCCATATAATTTTAACATAATGTAATCTACACAAAAGTTGGAATATTGAAATTAAATCAAGATATAAAGGTATTGTAACTGAAAAAAATATAATACACAATCAAATACAGAAAAATATATATTTTTTTTAATGTGCAGAGTTTACAAGGAGAAAGAAAAATGTAATGGTAGAAATTTTGGTGACAGATGATGTAGCACATGTAAGTACTTACAAACTATCAAAGATATCACACTTAAATCAGGGAAGATCTTCAAAGCTTATGTCCATAAACTATAAATCTGAAAATCTTGTTTGCTCTGTAAAGTGTTCCATCTGCCTCAAAAATTACATCAGGCAAATTAAACTGAGTCATAGATTGCAAATTCCTTGAAAATAAATTCAGGACCCACCAACATGCAATATTCCATTGAGTGAATATGGATACTTATTTCTATGGGCAATATGTGATTTTACAAATTGTTTTTAAACATTTAAAGATAGTGGAAGTGGGAGGCAAAATAAAAATATTTCAAAAAGCTGTTCCAGCCAACACTGAATTTCAAAAAAAATGTTTAATTCTTGTATGTTTTTATCCTTTTAATTATTAATTTTAATCTTTTTTATTTTAAATTCCATCCATGACATCATATTTAGAACTATTATTCATTTCTGAAGAGTCCACCTTGGACAAAAGTCTTACATTAAATAAAAAAAGTAAAGCTTTTATATAGTTATCCTGAAGCAAGTTACTCATATGTCCTCTGTACCATATTTATAAACTTTTCAATATAAATGTATAGGAATATTGACTACCAGCAGTGGTATAGATTTGGGGGGGAGGGGGGCATTTGTCCAGGGCTTCAAATTTGAAAGGAATCCTCACTAGCCTAATAATTAGTTTTTAACTGAAGCATAACTTTGGTAAAGTTAGATCATACATTTGATTTATAATACAATTATCTTTGTTACCCCAACCCACATGGTAAGAGTGTATGGTATTTAGAAAAGTAATGTATTTTAATCAGTAGAGTTATATGTGGCATGGCATCAAGGTTATTGCTCACTGAAATACTTTTCTAGGAACTAAAGTTGTAATTTTATTTAAGAACTAAATGACTAATGATTATGTACTGTAGTCTTGTGAAACTTAACAATATAATAACTTCTACCAGAAGAGCTGCTAAAATTCTACAATAGTAATAAATAGTCATAATTATGAGTAACAGTCAAACTACAAAAAGCTTATATGATCACTCTACCCTAGCCATCATTGGAGTACCCTCACTGTTAGCAGTATTTTTGGCCCTATACATTATCATATGAAGACTCAAGCTTAAGTTATTTTTAAGCCTCTGCCAGTATTTGGCTTCATTTTCATACTTACTGAACTGCACAGATAAGTTCACAAATGTTTATGTTACGTTAGAGTACGGGCCTCATTCTAGAGTGCCCCACAATCACTTTCTTAAAAAAAGCTATATACACACACCACTGACTACCACTCAAAAGATGTCACAGTCTTATTACACAGTAACCAATTAGGCATTGGTTTAATTATTGTGTATACTTTAGTCCCTGGCATCTGGATGGATATTTAGTTATTGGAGAAGGTTCAGAAGAAGGCTATTAGGATGAATCTGTGAATTGATGGATTGTCACTTGATGATAGATTGAGCAAGTTAGAAAATGACCAAGAGTTAATACTTTCTTAAGAAGTAATAAGTTGAATAACTGATATATTTGGATAATCATGTAGATTAAACAAATACTTGATCAAAAGTTTTTCTTTATAGGTACTGCTTTGAGTGTTGATAATCAAAAGTTCAACAAATTAGCAAATTATCATGTATGCCTGTACTCTGTATGCCTGCCCTCTTACAAGGACAATGGTAAGTTAGTTTGATTGTTTTTATACAAAATTCCTAAGCCCAGATTTATTAGTTGAGACCTACGTTTCTTTCTTTTTTTCTGAAAGTTTCTCTTCTCTTGTGGAGGAAGGATTAGGGAAACAACAGTTAATTTTTTTATTCTGCTTACTTTACTAACCAAGTGCCTAAATAATTGTCCCTTCTTCTTTAAAAAGTATATTGTTGCACATTCCATTTTTTTTCTGTTGCAGTTTGCAATATTCACTGATTCTTTCTTTTCTTCACTGAAATTACATTCACAAATAAATTACAAGCTAGCCTGCTAAATAATAATGAATAATTAATCGTGATAGTATAGTCATGTTATTGAAATGCCTAAATTATTTTGGGTTATTGTTTGTGAATGAAGTGCTTTACATCAAATCTTACAAATAGCTAAAGATATTGTTCAAAATTTATCTCTTTCAAAGATAAAAATGTTTTGAGAAAAACTTAGTGATATGAGTTATTCTTACAGAAATTTTAATGTTGTATGGTTTAGTAAGGCTCAGCTGTATTTTGCTTTTTAGGAATTGGCTACTTCGTTTATAGATTACTATTCTAGAAATGAAAAAATTATCTAGATACTGTTTTTAAGTTTTGCCATGATGTTCTTCAAAGACTTAAGCAATTTTTAAGTATCTATATCTTTAAAATAATCTTCATATTTAGTGTACTGATATGTACATTTAAAAGTTTAGCAATTTTATTTTAGGTAAAACATTTTTTCTTGAGCCATTTAAGTAGGGAGGATATATAGTCCAGAAACAAAGCTAGTGATTAATTATGGTTACTGTGTAAAAATCATATGTGCAGATGCATTTTTGCATTATGCAAATGTAATTCTTTCCTTCTATAGTAATATATATAATGCCTTTTTATGTCTCAATTTTATTAAGAATTTTAATGAATTAAACAATCACTAGTCACCAAAAGTTGTTTTAAATCACTAACTTATCTTTCAGTGACTAGTGTGTAAATTTTTTTTAAATCAGTAGGTTAGATGCATATATTACTAGGATCAACATTTAATTGCAAAGACTGCTTGAGATTCACAAAAAAGAACTCAATTGGCCACTTAAAATTGATGGATAATAAATCATTTTAAACTCTTCTTAAAAGTCGTTAATACTAAATGAGGATTGTTGTTATTCTGTACAGTTTTTCAATCCATTTACAGCTTACTGAGGCAATTGAGTAGTACAGTCTTTAGTCAAGAGGTAAGTTACTGGATAAACTGGAATATTCAACTTCCCAAAAATCTCTAGAATTATTTGTTATATTTATGGATATTTCCTATTTATTTCAATGCTTTGCCATCAAGTGAAATGAGATTTGGTGATGATGACAGTGATGAAGATTTAGAAGCATTACGATTAGCAGCACTACTGTCAAGAAAGAAAAGGCCAAACCCATCAACCTTTGAGTCTCATGCTCAGGGAATTCCAGTAGTCACTATTGCAAAAAACCTTTCTATTGTCCAAATCATCAGTACAGGAAATATCCATATCACAAAAGACATGGACATCCAAATTTTTTTAACAAGCCAGCTCAGGCCAAACCTGATAGTAATCAACACTGTTCCTTCAGAAGATCTTTCTAATGATAGCGTGGCTACTAAAGAGCCAGACAAACATAAGCAACTTTCCTCCACCCTGAACAAAACAGGTGGTGTCCTGTTGATGGAGGATCCTCATCTCCTCAGTTGTCAGATTCTAAAGGAAAAGTTCCTGAGAGGTTCAGTCAACTGGAATCTGACTCAGAGAGTGAATCAGATGAGGACAAGCTCAGTACAGTGGATTATGACACAAATTTACAAAGCAAGTCAAATTACCAGAACAATAGTAAAAGTTCAAGCTTTAATTCTGTTCGAACAATTGGACATAAAAAAGTCATGTAATAGAACTAGAAGTTCAAGTAATGAATGGTCTCCAAGTAGTAGCTCCACAACTGAAGATCAAAAAGTGAATATGAATGCCAGATCAGAGAATAGCAGTGATTCTTCAAGTTCTAAGTTCAGACATGCAGTGGGTTCTAAGAAAAGTGTTTAAAAGAAAGAATGTTTTAGACAAAATAGAATGGTGTTTCTCAAATATCATCAAAACGTTGAAAATACAAAGAGAGAAAAGAAGGAAAAAGAAAATCTAGCAGCATCTCTATTACTGTTCATGATGGAGAAACAAATGACTGCCTGTTCACATGAGACTAGGACTACCAATTAAGCCTTCTTTGCTCACAGGATGCTCCTTGCGATTTAATGAACTATTAAAGTGTTCAGAAAACAAGTCAAAGAAAAAAAGAGAAAGTGAAATATACAGAGAGTAGAATGAACTGACATAGAAAAATAAAAACAACATTCATTGAATAACCCACAAAAGAGATTACCTATCCATCAACATCTCAGCCAAAAGAAACCTTCAGAGACCATTGTATGCATTGATAGAAAGAGATCCAGACATTGATGAAAACTGAAGAAGATGTCAGGAAGACTGGTGTCTAGAGAAAGCAGCCATGGACAGATCAGAAAGAAGAGAGACATGAGCTTGCTACATTCTGTGAAGGTGTATGAAGAAGGCCTTAGATTACCTTTCATTTTAGTTAATTAAAAATAAGTGGTGTTTAACTGTGTACTACATGTATTCTGTTTATTTTAATTATGCTAAAAGTTTCTTGATAATCTGTACATTTTATGATATCCAAGGTAAGCAAAAAATAGAAATCTAAGTTGGGTTATGAATAGAAACCAAAATTAATAAGACACAGGAGGGAATCCTCAATAGCCGTATCACTTGAAATTCTTTTAGGCAAGATTAGATTAAATTAATCTATGATACTTTTGTTTCCCTATTTATTAGCTATATTTTTGTGTGCTAGCAATAACAGACATGGGGCGTGCATATACCCAATTTGATTTCATTACTCATCAGGATCTCCACGTACCTACCTACCATGAAATTGAAATCCCTTTTGGCAGGATTAGAATAAATTAATCTATGAGACCTTGGGCATGATCGAATACATCAATTGAAAGGGTTTGATCTCCTGTGTCCAAACTTTAATTAGATCTCAACTCAGTCAAGAGATGATAGAACTATGAGCTAAAGATTTATACTTGAAAAAAAAACAACAAAAACACTCGTAGTCATTCTGTGAGCCGCTCAGCTATGGCTAAGAATTCCTGAGACATATTTATGGATTATTATAAATATCTTTGGATAAATTAACATTAATTCAAGAGCAAACTGTAAGTTTTTACTAATTTAAAGCCTTCATATTTTTGAGATGGCTATTTACAACAATTTTCATAAGACTACAGTTATATATTTTTTGTATTAGATCACACATTAGTTCTCTCTTAGAAACTTGAATGTGTTCATACTCCTGTTGAGTAGTGTGTATGATAAATATTTTGTATAGTTTTGGTATGAGATGTAAATGATGGTTCATGATGGTAATTCTACACTTTACTTTTATGTAAGTTTTATAAATACATTTTTTTCTTTCCTTATACATATGAAACAACGTACGTTGCAGAAACTATCAAAAGATATTCAATTGTTAACAGCATTCTTCAGTTTCTCTTAAACTGCTAAGTTGTCCTGACTACAGCTTTGCTTGCTTATTAGATTATCATTGTTGTAATGTCAAAGTAAAAACTGGAACATGGTTTTTGTAGGAAGAGTTATAGACAAATTCACAGAATGAAAAAGTTTTCGTGAATAAAATTACCTTAAAATATATGATAGACCATTCTGCCTCTAGCAATGATTAAACAATTGTTTGGTTAGACAGTTGGACAAACACATGGTAGATAGCATTATGTATGGTAAATTTAAGATTATATGTTTTGGTTATCATGATCTAACTTACACATATAATTTATAAGAAGAAAGTACTTAATTATATAGATTAGGAAAATTATCTTGTCATAACGGTTGATACAAGTCTTAAGCCTTTGATACAGTATTCTATTGAGAGTGGTAAAGCTAAAATAATTCTGAGTTGTATATATACTAGATTTACGTACACATGATCCTAGAAAATGTTATGTTTCAAGAATAAATAAAACCAAAATTAAGAGTAACAAATATTTTTATTTCTTGCTTTTGAAGTTCATATGTCATGCTTTGTTGTAGCCCTTCCCCGGAAAAAGGGGAAACTTAATTCTTTCTTTATTCATTCAGCATATGTGTATGAATTTACAACTTTTTTATTCACTTCACAATTTCACACTACTTATTACACTTAATTTTCAATTCCAATAAAAGTTGCCAGGTTTGTCAGCAGCTTTACTTAAGATCTTTAGATACCTACACTGTAGCTGAATTATTGAAAAACATAGCTACCACGGCAGCTTCTTGGATATTGGACATGGCAATTCACACTCAGGTCATCAAAGAGACCAATGTGGTCTTGCCAACATCCCCTGAGCCCAGACAAAGTGTGATCAGGGTTAACCTATTGCCACCTGCTGGTAACACTGGCAACAGGTTACCAAAGAGACTGACACAGTCTTGCAGACATCCCATGAGACAGTGTGGTTGGGGACAACCAAAATCTACTATTATAGAGTATTTATAGCTGCAAGTCTGCAGTATTGCTTAAACTAATGTTATGAATATTAAACCCATCAAATCTGCCTATTCAATTTGAAGATGGGTCCATAATCCTTGATTTTGACTTTGCCTCCCCCTCTCTCTAGAAAAGTTTCTGCAGATTCCCATGCCTACAGAGTGCATAATTATTTTCATGATTAATAGCAGGCCACGTTTTACTGATGCCATGACAGTACAAATTCCAATGTTAAGTGCCCCTTATATGATGTCATTTTAGTGTCTACTGACTGACTAACAAATAACACACTACTGTATAGTGGTGTAAGTGGTTAAAATAGGTGAGCCCTCCAGGTGGCCTTTGGCCCCCTTTTGGGAAAATAATATTGACAACAAATCTATATCTATAATCTTTTAATTCTTGCAGAGTCTTTTCCAAGTTTAAAATATAATAACTTGAGTTGTAACCTGGAGATCTATCAATTAGTGTTAACAATTTATAATTTTCTAGCTTTCTGATTTGCCTGTTCTTCTAATTGGTGAGTAAAAGTTAATTCAAGTAAAATAAATAAATATTAATAATATACAATTTTGTATTAAAAACAAATAGTTTAATATTAATAAAAAAATATTGGATCTTTTTTTTTACACTTAAATTTTTAACTTTGTGTTCACTCATATTTTAATACGTGAGCTCAACATATTAATCTCCTTTAAAAAGAATTTCATACTGATTAAGTTGCACTAGTACTACACCCCAGGTTTAGTAAGTAAAGATCTGAGAATATTGTTAACAGCGAAGGCATCAAACTAATGAAACAATACTTTTTAATCTTTATTAGTAGAAACATGACAAGAGTATATTTAATTAACTACACTCATTACCAGATCATTTTTTAATTTTACTCTAAGTTGGTAACGTGATCTTATTTGAAGTTAATTGTAAGTTTTTATGTTACCTTTATACACTGAAATAGGAGCCAGAACTATTCAAATGTTTGGAATTTGCCTTCTTATTTCTTTAATTTTTAGTTGTTTTCTATCAAAACATTTTAAAAAATAACGTTATCTTGCTAGAAGTAAATCGACACTTTGGTATTATAAACAAGGTTCACCAAGCATGCTGTGCAAGGAAACTAAGTTTAAATACACCCCAGTTAGATAACTTAAAAGTGTCAAAGAAAACTAAGTTTAAATACAGTTTTTATGTATTAGCTCTGAAGAAGCTGAAATAAAAGTTCTCTTATTATTATCCAGATTGTACAGGTTATTTTTTTAACTTTATTATCAAAATGTGTAAATCCCTTCAGTATGCACTACAAATTTTGAAAGACAACAAAAAATATACAACTTGTAATGTATTGGTATCAGGATTTTGAATAACAACCTGAGAAAATCAGCAAAGTAATGCCATTAATGGAATATTCTAAACAGATACTGGATTAAACACATTTGTTCTGAGTGTTAAATTGAAATGATCAGTTACTTTCATATAGTTATGTCCAATACTCTGCAAGTTAAAATTTCAATACTCTTGTTTTTACACATAACTAGAATATGAAACATGCATGTAATAATTTTATCATATCATTACAGTTGGAAAAGATGCAATGAATAATTGTTTATGAAAAAGTAAAAATTTAATTCGTTTTTTCTCATTTATTAACACAATTCAAAAGTTATTTGAGATTAATAAGTTTGAGTCAAGATTGCGATTTTTGCATGTACAGGTTTCTGTACAAGTTAAAACAATTCCCTCAGAACTTTTAATTTATTCAAAATTACATTTTTCTGCATAAAACAAGAAAACTTATAGGTACAGCTATGTAATAATAATAATAAAAGTAAGCAAAATTCAATACAAATCTTGTTAATGATATAGTTGAAGAATCAGATTATAAACCTGAATGGCATTGATGAATTAGTAACTACTACCATCGCATAGATAGGCTATGCTTTGTTTTGTTTCATGGTATTCAATTTTGAATGTATCCACAATATAAAATGATGGTGGAATGGAATTTATCGGAAGTACATCTTGACACTGTTTGACGTTTGTAGGTAGTGTGATGCCACCAAAAATGAATTGCTTTTAGGAAGAGTGTTTAAAAGCCCTTTACAGTGTGTAATATTCTCAGATCATAAATATTTATTATATATGGAAATTTAGAATTAACCATCATTAAGTACGAGGGGAAAACAAAGGAATATGGATCAACTTAGGGTGCCAGGATCATATAGAAGTCATACCCCAACCTTGAAAAGCAGAGTATGCCATCTTGTAACAAATGAGAATCCATGTACACAAAAGTCAGTGGCAAAACCCTTCCATATGTCTCAAGCAACATATTTGAGAAGGATCTTCACCTCGAAACAAGCCCAACAGGGTATAGGTTGACCAACATAAGGCTTCCATTCAGCCATTGCATATCTCAAGCAGTTAAAGAATGAAACAAGTATTCACGTTATTCAATAAGGAGACATATTGATCAAGTTTTTAGGTGTGATGCCTGTAGATTTCTATGTTATTAGACTGTTGAAATGGGGTTAGAAAACCATTGTCCTTGTATGCCACATGGAATGTTGAAAAAGTAAGGTTTAGTGGTGTGCTTTGGACGTGATATCCTTAAGATGAAACCTTTTGCGATATAAATTCGCTACAGGGCTGTTATCAAGATGTGCATGACTAGCACATGTGCATGACTAGATGTGGTGACGAGGACTGTTCTTTTAATCGTTTTCAATGTATTTGCCATTCTTGTAATAATGCTCGTCTGCAACAGTATTTTCTGGAATCCGGAGAAACAAATTTGTTCATCTGTGCTTGATTTTTCACGTTCATGTCACTGACCTATTGGCCCTTTTATAATTCGAAATACGTTTTAACAAACAATAAAACAGCGTGATCTTTACAATATATATAAAATGCTAATAGCAGTTTTAAAAGAAAAAAGGACGAAGATTAATTAAAGCCAAATCTGATTTTTAAAAACCTAAAACAATTTTTCATTGAGATGAGCTTCATTTTATTTTTTAAATAAAAAACGTATTGAAACCTATTCAATTTTTATTTACATATTCAATGAAAAGACTAGCGTGTACTGTGTTTCACAGTCGGTGTTTCCACACTTTAAATATTACTGACAAATAGTTAAAAGATTTACAGTTTATTTTAGCAGAATTAACGGCCAAATTCACCATACACGAAGTCTGATACTAATAATGAGTTCCCGATAGGACAACAGTAAGTTTACAGATTTGATATAGTGAAATACGGCGTTCGATTCCCAGCTGTGGACACAGTAGATAATCCAATGTGACTTTGCTCTAAAATAAACTAACCAACAAGTAATCATAAAAGCCAATAAAAACACGTTAAAATTCTCATTGTTGTTTTACGATTATTCATATATCTTTGTAACTCCAAGTTATTTTCAATAAAATATCAATAAATCATACTTTTTTGAGTAGAATATTTTAAAGTAATAGAAAATAAATAATCCTAGTTTTTGTAATAAACATTAAAGGGTGTAATCAAGAAACTTTTATTGTGTCTATGCACAAAGATACACAATAGATTATTTGCAGTATAAGTATCGTGAGTATCGAGCCACGAACTTTAGTGTTATATGCCTTGAAGCTTACTGCTGGTCATCGGAGGTTGTTTTAATTTGTAATTATAAGGCTTTTAACGATTTCAGTTATATTGCAAGGCTATGATTTGTGTTTTACGTAACTATTTTCTTTTGCAAAAACAATGAAATAATAAATATATGTATATATTATTTTTTGGAGTGTTGATATATATTTTATGAATTTTTACAATAACAATATAAAAAACTTGCACTTCAATGTAAATCACTCGGCCTGTGTGGTAGATTCATAGAATTTCTACTAAATTCGGTCTACCAATATGAAAAAAAAACATTTTTAATATAATTAGGAAGTTTAAGTTACATTACTAGTGCTTCCCTCGCTGTAACAGCGGTAAGTCTACGAATTTACAATGATAAAATCAGGGATTCGGTTCGATTCCCCTCGATGGACACAGCACATAGCCCGATGTGGCTTTGCTATAAGAAAAACACACACACTACTGGTGCATCAGACAGACAAACAAACAGTTAAAACATAAAATTCGAACTGTTTTCTTCACTTATTAAAGAGTATTTCTAAACTTATCATATTCTGCAAATTTCATTTAGTGTTGGTAATTTTTTTCTTAAATGGGAATTTAGTTTAATAACAGTTAATATATTTAAGCTATAACATTTTTTCTAATTTATTTTCCTCTTTATAAGCAGTTTTCCAGAAAATTTTAGTTGTATATCTTAAAAGGAATAATAAATATTTTGCATTCATAAAATAGTGTGTCAAACCAATTTACAACCTTTAAATTAATTAAAAACCGAAATACAGCGCTTGCATCGGCCAATTTATATACTAAACTGATGACGAAGGGCACCGCGTGGCCAGAAGAACATTTTTCGCCATTTCTGCAGAACGCCGCACGTGTAAGAAGATGGCGCATTACAATTTTAAGAAAATAGCTGTGATTCCAACATCTAAAGTAAGTAATTAGATTTTGATTAATAGTTTTAACATTTATTTATTATAATTTCGAAATAGTTATTAGTTTATGATGCTTTAATTTAATCTCGAAGTACAAATTAACAGTTATGTGTTGTAACCTAGGTTTAGGCTGCTGAATTTTTCTTTTAGCCAAGTCTATGTAGTGATTATGAAAAATGAATAAATCTAAGTTAATCGTTTCAAATCGGTGTTTTGTTTATGAGAAATGTATCGCTAGATGAAAAGTATAAAGTTAGTTATAGTTTTCAACAGGTATTTACATTGCATCTTTGTATATATGTATCTGTTTGTTTCAATACTAAAGCTTGTAATGATTTTGCACAATAGGACTTCGTTGACATTATTTTGTCGAAGACTCAACGAAAAACTCCAACAGTGGTACACAGACACTACAAAGTTAACAGAATACGGCAGTTTTATATGAGAAAGGTTAAATTCACACAACAGAATTTTCATGATAAACTTTCTCAAATTTTGACGGATTTTCCCAAAATCGAGGTAAGCAGGTTTTATTAATTATATGAACGATAGAAATACGTTAAAATCTTCACTTGTTAAACCTCCTAAGACTATGCGAGTTATTATCGAATATTCGTGTTACATCTTGGTTTTGTTAATTTCATCTTATTAACTTTTCTTAGCTCTTAAAAACTTAAAAGTTCCAAATAGTAAAACTATTACTAGTGAGGGGATTTCGGTTACTGTTAAGTAATGAAGATAAAACAATTCGCACCCCATTAAATTCCAAAGTCACAAATTAGTAGATTTACATTGCATGTTCAGCTATTTAGCTAATAATTAATGAAAAACAATTATAGCTATATCTTTTGCACGACTGAGTGATTTATATCAAATTATTGCTTTACCTGGTAAACTGATACTGCATGATATTGATACCAGTGTCAAGGTAAGGTAAAATGTAGTCTTAACAAAGTCCATCAATTTCAAACTCGTACACATGGATTCATGTTATATGGATAAATGAAATGAAAATTGTCAATAATCAAATGTTAATAATGAAGAATGAGCTTACTTCTGAAAGTATAGGAACAATTTTTGTAATAATGTTGGTTGTAAACTGTACCCATTCTACATTGTCATAATGTAATTGATACATCGTTCATACTACTTTTATGATACTATTGTAGCAAGTTAAATTGTGTCAAATTAAAGTTTTCATATATTTTACTACTATTGTAACTTGTGTTTTTTTTTCTTCTTAAAACTACTGTAGCACACATTCTTATGCTCTAGCTACACCCAACGATATGACGTAGTCAATTGTTGTCCGCAAAACCTATTGTCTGTATAAGCCTGATGGTATGATGTAAAGCAACTTGTCTGTTTATATTTCATATTCATTATTTTTTGACATGCTGTTGGTTCAATTTGGGTAGACGTATCAGTTTATGAGTTGTAATACGCACCACAGTTTATTGTGTGGCCTTTTTACAACAAATTTAATGGCTAAAAAAAATTATAAATGGTTTTAAAGTTTTGTTTATGTGTTTTCAAATAGTAAATGCTTCTGGATCCAATGAAACCACCCAGACCAAAGTAGAGCATGAAGAGAGCTATTATTTGATGTATAACTGATCCTTATTGGTCCAGCCAGTTTGAACCAATGTCCTGTTTTTGTTGTCAACATTTGTTCACTGGTTTCTGCTTAATGGTAGAGGATAGGTTTAACGATCAGCTCGATTTTATTTTTTAAAGCCGATTTACAACTAGTGGGAGTATAGTTGCCTTGAAACAAATCATTCAAATTCAGCATGTATTGATACTGTAGATATTTTTCATTTGTTATTTGGTGTACAATAATTAGTTTATGTGAGGCCAAATTAGTATCTTTATGGTAACAGTACTTTAAATATAACATTTCTAACACAATACAAACAAAATGTGTAAATCAACTTGTACTTTATAAAACTTTAACTTATGTTAGGCCTAAGTTCGATAAAGAGATAAATTAACACTAAACTGTACGTTTTTTTTTGTTTTTTTTTTACTTTAGTTTAGTTGGGACTAAACTTTACTGTACTTAATACTATTGATAAATAAACATATAATGTTATTCCAAGACCTATCATCAATCCTTTTTTTAAAACTTTGATAAGTTTTTAATATTCTGTTGTACAAAGTGGTTAGTAAAGTATATTTACATTCCCCCTTTT